AGGAGCTGCGTGTCCCTGACCCCTGGGGCTCACCCTGCTCCTTGCCATTGCCAGCCAGCGTCACGGCGCTCCGGCTGCGCGCCAGGAACGACAGGGTGGGCGTCATCAGCCGGTCTACGATGCTGCTCTCCCATGGGCTCAGCTGCAAGCTCCGGTCTGGGGAGGGAAAGGGGCCATTAGTGCACCACAAAGCTCCAGACTGCAGTCCTGCCCTCACAGCTGCCGCTGGGAGGGAGCAGTGGTGTGTCTGCAGCGATACCACGGTGCATGCACAGTTCCAGGAGTGCCCAGACCTTGGCCGTGCTGGGGAGGGGTCCCCACGGCCCCACAGAGCTGAGCAGGATGAAGGGCCGTGCCTGTGGGTGGGTGTGGGTGTCTGTGGACGGCGCTGTGGCATGACGACAACGGTGCCCTTGTGTTCTGTGGACACCGCAGTCACCGTGTACCAGTGGTGCCGGGTCTCACCCTGGTGACAGCAGCCCCCCTGGTCTGCCCTCTCCTTGTGCCCAGCAATGGCACCCTTCTGTGCCCCTGCCCTGTGTGAGCAAGGCCCTGGCACGTGCCAGCTGCCCGGGGGACACCACAGTGTGCCCTCATCCCACGGGAGCTGTGCTAAATCACCAGGCCGGGATTACAGCACCCATGGAACGGCGATGGCTGGCCACACAGCTGGCTCAGCTGGGCACCAAGCTGAGCACACGTCACCAAACACCCTGTGGCGCATGGAAACCCCCCATGGAGACAGGGCCCCTCTGCCCCTCTCCACTGGGCACCAGGCCAGGGGCAGCACCAGCTGCTGGGAGGGGAGAGCACAGAGCCACGGACGCTGCAGGGGGACAGGGTGGCAGCGGGTCTGGCACGGGCCCAGGGAGATGCTGCTCCCACCGGGGCAGTGCTGACAGCCCCCAGGTGCCTGTCCCTGGGCTGAGCCCCACACAGGGTGGTGGGAGCTGCCTGCGTCACCACAGCCACCGGCGTCAGCTGCTCTGGCTATTTATACCCGTCCGGGAAGGCGCCCATCGCCAGGCAACCCCAAAACACAACAGCACTGGACACATCCCTCTGTTGGACACATCCCTCTGGCATGGCTGCAGCCCTGGGCAGCGCTCCCAGGGCCAGGATGACCTTGCAGCACCATGGCCACAGAGCTCTGTGGCACCCAGGAGCCTGAGGGGGCACTGGCACTGTGCCCAGCCCCAGGAGGGCAGGTGACAGGCAGCACCTCTGTGGCTGCACCAGCACCCACCAGAGCTGCCCTGGGGCAGGGAGCCAAGCTCCCATCTCATCCTGGCGCCCCATGGGGCTGCCATTCCTCCTCCTCCTCCTCTTCCTTCTCCTCCCAGCCCACACAGCCTCAAGGAGCCACCGGGCGGTTCCAGCCTCCTCCCCCAAACAGCAAACGGCTTCTCCTCTCTCCGCGGGCACCTGGGCATGGGGGACCCTGGCATTGGGGGTCCCCAGCACTGGGCGGGGGCCTGGCTGTGCCCCCTGCGCTGGGGCAAACGCAAAGGGCTCTTACTTCTACTGGGAGAGTTCCAGAGGGTGGCGGAGGATTTGGAGAGCCGCTTGTTGATTATAGAGTCGACGTGTTTGGGGAGGTTTACAGCGGACACCGAGCACCGGCTCGCACCTGGAGGAGGGAAAAGACACAAGGGCATTAAGGTCCCGGGGCCGGGGCCAGGCCCCCCACATGCAGCATGCACGGACGTGCCAGGGCACTGGGGCACAAGTGGAACGACCAGGGGAGATGCTGGAGTCCAGGGACACAGCACAGAATGGGACAGGAGATGCTGGAATCCAGGGACATGGTACGGAGTGGGGCAGGAGATGCTGGAATCCAGGGACACAACACAGAATGTGAGAGGATATGCTGGAGTCTGGGGACACGGCACAGAGTGGGAGAGGAGATGCTGGAATCCAGTGACACGGCACAGAGTGGGGCCAGAGGAGACACTGGTGTCTGGGGACACGACACACAGCACTGGCATTCAGTAAGGCAGCATCTGAACCCTGCAGGGTCATGCTGGGATCATGCAGGAATCTCGTCCTCAGAGAGCCAGGGTGGCTCTCAGGCCCTGCAATAACAATTTTCCCAAACACAGTTCTGGGAATCAGGAGTGGGTGGCCGGGGACCTCGGCAGCACCAGGCGAGCATCCACCCTGGGGGAGCAGGGTGAGGACAGCAGGTCCAGACAGACAGAGACAACATCACACCGGTGCTGGGTCACTATGGCACTGCCAGGACAGGGCTGGTGGCTGGCAGCACCCCCACAGGTAGCTGGGATCTCCCCACCCTGCCTGGCTGCTCTGGACAAAGAGCCAGGGAAGCTCAGGGTTGGTGGAGATGGGAGATTGGTGAGTGAAGCTGGCAGCAGCTCCAGCAGCACATCCCGACGGGAAGTGGCAGAGGAGGGTGTCCCCTTGCCAGACCCTGCCAGATGCTGCACCAGAGACACCCTGAGCGTGCCACAATCCACAGTGGCACACATGGCACCGAGACAGGCACACCCAGAACGTGGAGCCTGTACACACAGCCCAGCCAGGTACAGCCGGGCACGCAACACCTGAACACACATGGCACTGGGCACACAGTGCCAGTGCACACAGCCTGGCACACAACACCTGTACACAGCCTGCAGTACACCTGATAGTACACACAGCCTGGCCAGGTACAGCCAGGAACCTGTACACAGCCTGGCGAGGTACAGCCAGGAACACAACACCTGTACACAACTTGGCCAGGTACAGCCAGGAACACAACACCTGTACACAACTTGGCCAGGTACAGCCAGGGCCACCACAGCTGTCCCAAGGCACGTGAAGGCCAGACAGTTCCTCTCAGCACTCTCCCCTATGTCACCATCCATGCCAGACAGTGCTGGCACCTGCCAGCACAGCACAGCAGTCAGGGGACAGTGGAGACCTCCACTTGTCCAACTGCTGAATCGTTCAAGATGTCCCCAGGAAGCCCCCACAGAGCAGGACGAGCTTCTGCAGCCACACATGCAGCCACAGTCACGTCAATACCAGACCTGGAGGGGCCAAGCACTGCCCCCACCCAGCTGGGGGACAAGGGGACACGCCATAGCACAGACCCAACCAGAGCCTGCAGAGGCCTCGTGCAGCCCCATAACCCCTGGGGCCAGGGGCTCTTCACAGCTGCTGAACCACCTGTGGAGTCATGCCTGGCAGCATGGCCATGGCATGCTGAGGCAGCCAGGGCTGCTCCCAGGCAGGTCTCTGAGTGAAACAGGGACTGTGACACACAGCCTCCAGCTTACACCCAAACAGGAGCAGAGAACAGCCACGGGACCCCATCAGTCCCCAGCACAGCCCAGAGTGACGGCAGCATGCTCCACCAAGTGGGGCTGAGCTGGCTTTGAGGGCTGGCAGAGAGATGCCCAGCTGCCCCCATGGCAGTCAGAGCCACAGGGTCCCCAGGTACCTGTGCTCAGCCCACCAAGTGGGTCTGAGCTGGCTTTGAGGGCTGGCAGAGAGATGCCCAGCTGCCCCAGGGTGCCCAGGTGCCTGTGCCCAGCCCAGCACTCACCATCCTTGTGTGCGGGGGAGCCGTGGTGCAGGGCCCCAGCCCAGGACCACCGCTGCTGCCGGATCTCTGCCCACGTCTTCTTGACCGACCGCTGGATCGCTGCCTCGTAGCGCTCCTGCCCGAGGGAGAGGGACAGGCTGAGCCCAGCAGCTGAGGGAGCAGGGCTGGGGCCAGCCAGAGCCCCCAGCATGAGGCCATGGCAGAGATTGGGGTGCTTGGAGGGGGACAGGACAGTGATGCCTGCCCTGGCCACGGCACATGTGCCAACAGGCTGGGCACAGCACAGGAAGGAGTGGCAGCAGAGGATGGGTACAGTGGGCACCTCCCAAAGCAGCTCCTGAAGGGCTGCTGGAGCCATGAGAACTCCTCAGGGATTGCATCCCATGTGCCACCCCAGCCCCCTGATACCCATCCCCATCCCCACCTTATTCTTCTCCAGCTTCTGCCTCTGCCGCTCCTCCAGCACCGCCCG